ATGTGTTCATTCGCTTTTATGAATGTCGATGGATTATTGCTTCGATATACTTGATGAAACTAACTTGGGATAAATTTTGTTTTTAGTTTCCAATATAATTTATGAAATATTATTCCTCTCCCCCATTATATCGAAACGCTTAATATAAAATTAGCACACATAGTAAATAATCGTGGGTTTATTTTCGTCTTTAAAGGAGATTTTAAACGCTTAAATTCCCTATTTCATCGCTATTTGCGAACTTTAATAAGGGCGATCGTTATTCATGCGGGGAATATTTTCAAACTTCGTCCAAAGAACTTTCGGAGCTACTTTAAAGGCTCTCTAATCATTATAGAAGCCGTGGATACACCTTTTATTTGCACGTACATCGGGTATGTTTACGCGGGAAAAACATGATTCCGTTCTTGTGAGTCTGCAAATATTAAATCGGACTGCGGGGAAGTCGGGCCATCGAAATGAAAGATGTAGCCGCGCGAAATGCTTCTCATAAATGACCATCTTGTGAATTTGAACAGAAATATTTTCAGACTTTTACATCAGTTTCTCTCTACAGTTAATTTAACGCGCGTAAAATTTATTCAAGCGTTTTTACAAAAATCTCGCTAAAATGCACCGACTCGGATGGAAGTTCCCGAAAAAAAAAAGATTCTTTTGCCGTTGCGCTCGTAATTTTTCGCTAGATTTATTTTCACGCTGTTTTTCCTGGTTCATTGAACGCTGATGGATAATAATCACATAATCGCAGCAACTATTCGATAATTCCAGGTCACGGCGCGTGGTAACTACATGGCTAACGCCATCCTCCTTCGATTGCTTCATCTCGCTTGCACTCGCGAAGCATCTTAGATCGATAGGAAATTCCATACCGTTAATATATCTACATAAATGATGTCATCAATTCATCCTGATAGAATTACAATTATTACGCTAAAGAATCTCCTCTTCCGAATCTCGTTTTTTAATCTCTACCATTTTAACAGATTACCTCCTTTGACACTTTTATTTTGAAACTTTTAGTTTGAAACTTTTATTTTCCCCGATACATAGGAGATAATTGAATAAATGTAAAAAAAAAGAGAATTATACGCACAAAAAGAGAGATAATTAAAAACATTTATTTACACATAACAAAAGCTTATAATAGAATTATTGTTGACACATACGTAATAAGATGATCAATGAGATTGCTTCATTGATTCTAATCCATAAAATGTGTCGTATAGGATGCATCATTCTCTCTGCTCTTGTGTTATGCTGATTACTCTTAATTGGACCTCGTAATGTGCATTAATACAAATGCAATTTGCTTAAATCTTGAGTGAGCGATTATGGGAAGAGGGAAAAATCAAAATCATTGGGTTACGTACGAGAGGAGAAACCTCCGATGTTACGAGGATGAATCAGCCTTGTGAATATCGGCGAATGCGCCTTGACACTTTTATCCCCGCCCTATTTCTGATTTTTACGATCTGTGCTTTATTACGACTTACGTCCGATACTGGAGCAAAGCCATTCGCGATCTTATATCTTCGCAGCTGTAATATCAACGCATTTAAACTCGTTAGCAATTTCTTTTCTCACTGAAAGAAAAATCGAATCCGGTGTTTTTCATTGTATCGATAATTACGACGATTTTTACGATTTTTTAATTGTTCAAGTCATCTCTTCTTTAATGAAGAATTTATTATTTATACAATTAGATTAAATAAATTAGCAAGCATAAATAATATAATTTGTAGAAATTAAAAAGTGCAATTAACGGATATTCGTATAACATATAGTCAAATTGAAAGAACAAAAACCACGTGTTAAAATTTAATAAATTAAAGAATAAAAAAGACTAATTAACTTATATTTAATGTCTTTTGTGTTCCTTAATTTATTAAATGTCGTGTGGTTTTTCTTTTTTAAACGGTTTTGACTTTATGTTGTACAAATATCCGTTAATTATTCCTTTGTTTTTTTTTTAGTATTTTGTTTATCATCTCTGGAGTCTTTTAATATAATTTCTGTTGAGAAAAGTAAAGAATTTAAATTTTATCTGAAATTTGAACGCGTATGCAATTTATCTGCAATTTATCTATGTGAGTTTGAGAGATTAATTTATCAATTCGCGATTAAATAATTTACATTTTTTTATTGAAAAGAGTTTTATCGATTCCCCTTGCAGTCAAAAATTTCGAGAATACCTTCTTCGATGAAAGTCGGGAATCTGATTATACGTCTTCTACTATGCATCTGTTTGCCCCGATTTGCCATTCTCCGGTTTTATTTCGGATTTTTACGATCCGTTTTTACTATCCCCACGTATACCGGGCGTACGGAAATCGCTCCTAACGGGCTGTGAATTCGGTTGGACCGAGTAGGGGCAGATGTTTTCTGAAAGCACTCCTCGACATGCAATCTCGGCGCCATTGCGCTGACTTCGCCTGAAACAGATCTCTCGAGAGCTTAGTTTCGCCGCGCGTACGCGAGCGTGCGGCTGACGCGGAATCGAAGCGGTTGAGAGAATCGACCGAAATTAGATCACCTTGCTGGAATTCGTTCGGCGAACCACGTGAAGCCACCCGACCGGAATCATTAGATTTTCCGCGCTGCGGTGAAACCGCAATAATCACCGTCGTTATTCTGTCCGATTGCTCCTGTAGAAACTGAACCCGAGCGTGAGGAGCATCCCTTAAGATTTCTCTTTCGGCCGAGCACGACCAGAATTCCTTCCAACTCCGGAAATCACGAATAGCATCGTGAAACTTATAAAATAATAATTTTTTTTTATATATGTGTGTATATATATATAAAATAAAGATGCCTTTTTAACGCGTTACGAATCTATTTATCCTAAAGAAAAATTTGTTTTTCTTGAAAAGTGGCACTAATTGTTGTGATAACTTTGGGTCATTGGAATGAGGTCGTCCTCGCGACAACCCTTCTCACATAGCATGAATAAAACATGACCAAGCTGAATTTACATTCTCGCGGCTGTCTCTGACTAGCCAATAAGCAGGTTTCTACCTTCCCTCCTCCGACCCGTCTGACTATACTTTCCACCAGATGCGAGCTGATAATAAAAAATCGATAAAGAAACCCGAAGGAAAAGAACCGAGCGTTAGCTTGACTATCTTCTCTTTAAAAATGTCTACAGCAAGGTACATTACTTGTTATTGGATGTTATTTGATATCGAGCTAACTGAGCTAGATAAAAAAATAAGTATGATAGACGTTGACTTTTCGCTAAAGCAGATAATCGCGAATCAATTAATGTTGTATCTAAATATTTAGAAAAATATATACTAAATTTTAAAAAGAGAAAATTAAGGGAGATTCGCAATTTACGCGAGTATGAAACATAATATTGATAAAAATACTCGAAACTACCCTTCTATGATGTAATGATAAAGCTATATAATAATGTCGCTCTTTGAACGTTTCATTCTCCAGGCATTCTCAGCAATGCATATCCCATTTTCTATTTTTATTCGCTTATCGGTCGTTTATTGACCGAAGGGGTTTATAATAATAAAACGACCGCGCACGCATGTACGCGGGGGGAGGAAGAAAAAGGGAGCAAACTGCGACTTCATCGCGGGTAAGATCGTCAGTTCGTCGTACGAGCTTCTTGAGCGCGGGTTATCGTTAGCAACCTTCCCTAACAACTTCTTGTTAGACCAGGATAGATCGATGACTCTCGACGGTTCAGTGTTTTGCTTACCTCCCAATACTTGGCGCGCTCCGAAATGTGCCAGCTAAGGGTGTGCTACTACCCTGACACATCGTTTCTCACGACCAGCAGAGCCGGCCAATCCCGAGCCAATCGAACGAACGCCTCCCTTGGTCGGGCTGCGTTGCATCAGTGTTAAGCTGACGCTCGGACGGCACTCTTCCGGTTCTTCCCGCTCTCACAAGCCCCGTAAACAAGCGTTCTCGATTCACGAATGCTAAGAGGATCAATAACTCGAGATAGTCGTCCACGAGTGAGAGTGAGAGAGAGGGAGGGAGCTGTCAACCTCTTTAGTAACGCAAACTGTGAAACCTCGCGTCCGAAACTTTTATACGGTGGTTGTGTAACGGTGTCGTTCCCGTTAGGGAATGTTTCCGCGTCGCGTTTTAGCTGTTCATCCCCTGTGCAGAATCGATCGCTCTGCGAACTAGTTGCCGCACGGAATTGCGACGGAACATTGAGAACATGACGCTTTGGTAGAATCGCGGATTACGGCGGCGTACTAAGTGGTTAAGCTCCCACGCGAGCACGAAGCCTACTCTAAAGCTCGTTCGTCGGATACTTGTGGCTGTAATCCCTTCAGTGGGAAAACAGTAACTTGATAGGCAGGAGAGGATATCGCCAACTGTCGGACGCGATGTTTGCAAAAATGTGGGGCGACGTGATTCGCAAGATCCGCTTTCGTCCATTGGCCGGATCGGGTTGACGAAATGGATGTACGGGAAATTTTTTGGAGTAAACTACCTTTTCCCATGTTCCTCGTTTTAACTGTTTGCCGATCCCTCCTTCGCGAAAACGCGCGCGATCTTGAACGGTAGACTCCGATAAGTAACTCGAAAGTAACACTCTTCTGTGTTGGATAGGTCAACAAACAGTTGCTTCCTTGTTTTTCCTCCGCGTCTCGTAAGGGACGTGACACCATCAAACGGCTCCGACATTCTATAAGTGTCTTTTACCGTGATGCACTTTAACGCGAGCGACGTCGCTACAAGCGTGTATCCATGTTGCTAGAACGTTCTCCATGAACGACGTGCTGATGGAAAACCATTTTCCGCTATCTTATACCTCTCGCGTGATGTATATTTTGTTCCATGTGAAATGGATGTACAGATGGGATGGATGTTGACTTAATATATATATAACGCGATCTCTTTTCTCACCAGTTGTAAAACATTTTATTCCGTGTAACGGATCTTTTTTTTTGACCTTTTAAAGAGAGAAGATGTAAAAGAGACTGCGAGAGAATATTTTCTCAAAATTTCCATATGATCTGTCATAGGTTCTGTCCCTCGGAGCAGACGTCCTCCCAGAGTACAAATTACAGTCCCCCAGAATCCACAAGTGGACCATATTACACTATTCGCCATTCAAGGCAGTCTGGGATTGGATTATATTGCTGCTCGTGATGTACACCGCCATATTTACGCCGTACGTCGCCGCTTTCGTTCTGTCGGATCCGGATTATAACAGCAGGAAGAACAAAAAGTACAGCGACGACCCCATCGTCATCATAGACTTTATAGGTAAGTCATTATTCAAATTTATAACTTTTTTCTTTTGTTTCATTTTTAAAATAAATGAAATTGTGTATCTAAAATAATATTTTTTTTTTTTTAGTATTGTTTATCATCTCTGGAGTCTTTTAATATAATTTCTGTTGAGAAAAGTAAAGAATTTAAATTTTATCTGAAATTTGAACGCGTATGCAATTTATCTGCAATTTATCTATGTGAGTTTGAGAGATTAATTTATCAATTCGCGATTAAATAATTTACATTTTTTTATTGAAAAGAGTTTTATCGATTCCCCTTGCAGTCAAAAATTTCGAGAATACCTTCTTCGATGAAAGTCGGGAATCTGATTATACGTCTTCTACTATGCATCTGTTTGCCCCGATTTGCCATTCTCCGGTTTTATTTCGGATTTTTACGATCCGTTTTTACTATCCCCACGTATACCGGGCGTACGGAAATCGCTCCTAACGGGCTGTGAATTCGGTTGGACCGAGTAGGGGCAGATGTTTTCTGAAAGCACTCCTCGACATGCAATCTCGGCGCCATTGCGCTGACTTCGCCTGAAACAGATCTCTCGAGAGCTTAGTTTCGCCGCGCGTACGCGAGCGTGCGGCTGACGCGGAATCGAAGCGGTTGAGAGAATCGACCGAAATTAGATCACCTTGCTGGAATTCGTTCGGCGAACCACGTGAAGCCACCCGACCGGAATCATTAGATTTTCCGCGCTGCGGTGAAACCGCAATAATCACCGTTGTTATTCTGTCCGATTGCTCCTGTAGAAACTGAACCCGAGCGTGAGGAGCATCCCTTAAGATTTCTCTTTCGGCCGAGCACGACCAGAATTCCTTCCAACTCCGGAAATCACGAATAGCATCGTGAAAGATTCAATATCGTGGGGTCTCACGCGTTGCGGAATCCGATATAGTTGGAAAATTCTCCCTCGTGAAATCCGATGAAAGCGGATGGACCGGAATCGCGTGGAAATTCCCTAAGCCGAAAAAGTCACATCTAATACCATTTCGATGTGAATGTCATCCTCGCTTATTTGAAATCGGTCCCTTCGCGGGAGCTAAATTCGCGGGATGTGGGTAAAAGTGACTTTGTGAAATTTGCGGGAATTTACTCAACATCCCCGAAGACCATCCTTCAGAGATTTGAATCAGCCAACATACTAGGGATTGCGTTTGACCCTACAATCATCATTTGTGCTTTGTGATTTATTAAGAATTGTTGAGGAATTTTTCAGAGATTTCGAAATCGCAAATAAATAGATGAATAAATTGAAAAATATTCAAGACAATTTAACTTTAATTCTTCGGTCATATTAATTCGATTAATTTTGCTGTGGATAAACTTTTTGAGTATCTGTTTAAAATCTTGCGAGGTAAGATTGAACCAGAGTAGTTTGCAATATTGATTCAATACTTAAATCTTTTAAACAAAAGTAATAACATAAATTGAGTCTTATTAAAGATATAATAACTCGCCAAGGTTTGATCGTTTGATAAGAATGTTTATGACAAATTCAACGAGATGCTAAATTTCCTGAACCAATCGAATTCCAATCAATAGCTCTTTGAACGTACGCTCTCGGCTTCTCGATCAAGAATTGTTTGAATCAGTGATGAAATCTTTTGTACAGAATGAAGAATCGGGGAAGCCGAGTGCTACTACCCTGACACATCGTTTCTCACGACCAGCAGAGCCGGCCAATCCCGAGCCAATCGAACGAACGCCTCCCTTGGTCGGGCTGCGTTGCATCAGTGTTAAGCTGACGCTCGGACGGCACTCTTCCGGTTCTTCCCGCTCTCACAAGCCCCGTAAACAAGCGTTCTCGATTCACGAATGCTAAGAGGATCAATAACTCGAGATAGTCGTCCACGAGTGAGAGTGAGAGAGAGGGAGGGAGCTGTCAACCTCTTTAGTAACGCAAACTGTGAAACCTCGCGTCCGAAACTTTTATACGGTGGTTGTGTAACGGTGTCGTTCCCGTTAGGGAATGTTTCCGCGTCGCGTTTTAGCTGTTCATCCCCTGTGCAGAATCGATCGCTCTGCGAACTAGTTGCCGCACGGAATTGCGACGGAACATTGAGAACATGACGCTTTGGTAGAATCGCGGATTACGGCGGCGTACTAAGTGGTTAAGCTCCCACGCGAGCACGAAGCCTACTCTAAAGCTCGTTCGTCGGATACTTGTGGCTGTAATCCCTTCAGTGGGAAAACAGTAACTTGATAGGCAGGAGAGGATATCGCCAACTGTCGGACGCGATGTTTGCAAAAATGTGGGGCGACGTGATTCGCAAGATCCGCTTTCGTCCATTGGCCGGATCGGGTTGACGAAATGGATGTACGGGAAATTTTTTGGAGTAAACTACCTTTTCCCATGTTCCTCGTTTTAACTGTTTGCCGATCCCTCCTTCGCGAAAACGCGCGCGATCTTGAACGGTAGACTCCGATAAGTAACTCGAAAGTAACACTCTTCTGTGTTGGATAGGTCAACAAACAGTTGCTTCCTTGTTTTTCCTCCGCGTCTCGTAAGGGACGTGACACCATCAAACTGATCCGACATTCTATAAGTGTCTTTTACCGTGATGCACTTTAACGCGAGCGACGTCGCTACAAGCGTGTATCCATGTTGCTAGAACGTTCTCCATGAACGACGTGCTGATGGAAAACCATTTTCCGCTATCTTATACCTCTCGCGTGATGTATATTTTGTTCCATGTGAAATGGATGTACAGATGGGATGGATGTTGACTTAATATATATATAACGCGATCTCTTTTCTCACCAGTTGTAAAACATTTTATTCCGTGTAACGGATCTTTTTTTTTGACCTTTTAAAGAGAGAAGATGTAAAAGAGAGTGCGAGAGAATATTTTCTCAAAATTTCCATATGATCTGTCATAGGTTCTGTCCCTCGGAGCAGACGTCCTCCCAGAGTACAAATTACAGTCCCCCAGAATCCACAAGTGGACCATATTACACTATTCGCCATTCAAGGCAGTCTGGGATTGGATTATATTGCTGCTCGTGATGTACACCGCCATATTTACGCCGTACGTCGCCGCTTTCGTTCTGTCGGATCCGGATTATAACAGCAGGAAGAACAAAAAGTACAGCGACGACCCCATCGTCATCATAGACTTTATAGGTAAGTCATTATTCAAATTTATAACTTTTTTTCTTTTGTTTCATTTTTAAAATAAATGAAATTGTGTATCTAAAATAATATTTAAAAATATAAATAATTATTAATCTATTATATTATATATAAATTTAAATAATATTTTTAGATATAACAATTAATATTACAAATGCAAATAAAGGAATGATAGTAATGATAATAATATTGTTTTCTTCTTTTACATGAGTATGTTAATTTTAATGGTTCAATAATTACTATAATTCAACTTTTATTATTCTTATATTTCTACAGAAAAAAACAAAGGGGCTCACTTAAAGTAAGATTAAAGTTCTTCTGACGTTGATAAGTAAAATTGGGTCTTAGAATAAAGTTTTAAATTTGATATCGACGTCCGAGTACAGAGAGAGAGAGAGAATCGTGTTTCATATAACGTAACTGGAACGCGGATAACATGTCACGACTGTCTGAAACAATAGAGTGGATAAAGAGACAATAGCGTGAAAATAGAACGAACGAAGAAGAAATCGGAGAAATGTCCGTAGCGACATTTCTAGAGATACTATCTTCTATTATTCCGCGCAATGAATTTTAGCTTGGTGGAAATTTTTGAATTTGTAATTATAGATTCGATATTATCGGGACGAATAAACGAAATAAAAATTCACATAACACTTTATATTCTTGGCATATAAAAAATTTGACAGATTGAATTCGCGATATAAAAATATCAAAGAATTATCGATTTTTCTTTGCAAAATATATGCATAAAATACGTTTTTACTTTTCTTCCAGTCGACGTCACCTTCATCGTGGACATCATTATAAATTTTCGCACGACGTTCGTCAACAGCAACGATGAAGTGGTGTCCCATCCTGGAAAGATAGCCGTCCATTACCTGAAGGGTTGGTTCATCATCGACCTGGTGGCCGCCATTCCCTTCGATCTCCTACTCGTCGGCTCGGATACTGACGAGGTAAGTTTCGTCGCACGCTTTGCATTCCCTAGATTACCTCTTTCCCAAGCCGGATCTGGTGTTTACGGGATTCACGTCTCTTATGCCAATTTGCAGCCAGTCGTTCGCGAGCGCGTGCGAGAATTCTTTCTCGTGGAGAAATTACAAAAATTCGTGGTATTTTACGTTCGCGCGTCAATCGCGCGTACTCTTTAATTTAGACGAACAGAAAATTTCGCGACAACGTAAGCAATTGCGTGATGTTGATAAGTGACACTCGCGGACGCCAGATCGCCGGACGAGTTTTCTAGAGAGAGAATGTCGGTGTTAGTTGGTAAATATGATTAGGATGACATGCCGAGCCCAAGTTACATGCCCATAGATGTGACTTTGATCGAACTGGTGCTTAGTTCGTTTCTTCCTATTTTCGATAATTTCTCTCGGTGTTGAATGATTTCGTTTACCTTTATCGAGATTTAGTCGAGTCGTCGTGTTAATGTGCACACAATGTATACGTACGGACGGACGAGAAACGTTCAAATTCGTCTTCTCGGTCTGCCCGGGACGATTTTACACAAAGTTGAACGTGTGCTACACGTGCGTCGAGAATCAATTGCACGTTAAGATCGGATTTTTGCATTACGTACAGATGCGCGTTAATGACGTGGTGCTGATAAACATAAGTTGAACGAAGTAACAACGCGACATTTAACGTCAATTATGTATAAGTCGAGAGACGACATGTGTAACTCAGCATAAGTGAACTAATCCCTTTGTCTGGCTCGTACCTGTACGCACACGTATGTTTGTTTGCATACACTGTTAATAAATATGTAAGTAAATATAGTCTGTCGCTGTGAAAATTTCTGCTCTGATTGTCAAAGTATTAGACTATATACATATATCAGATCTTCGTCAAGATTCTCTTCTACTTTTTTTTTTTTTCAGTCGTGTGGTTTTTTTTTCATTCGTTTTTCGTTTAAACGATTCTTTCTTTGGATTTTCTCTCATGAGTTGATCTTTATTTGTCTCTCCCTCAATTTGTGAACGGTGGCTAATGAAAGAGGTCGATATGCGCGGAAGAAAAATGTGGTGGACATAAATAACTCCTCCTTCCGTGATTAATTTAATTTATCGGGCACCTGAAAGTGACAAGAATGTCACTTACTCCCCAATCAAGTTTACGATTAATGAAAATAATTAATAAAGTCATCCGTCACGGCAATTTATTTAAAGCGAAACGTATCTATGATTCTTGCGACATTCCTAATTTTAAGCGAGCGATCAAACAATTATTAACAAATTTGAAAAATGAAATTATAAATTATCCTCACTTGATATGAAGAGATCAAATTTTAACCTCAGTTTAACGTTTTCGTAGCTCGGCTTGGACAAGGACGAGGTTAGTTGACACATATATACACAAGAGATTCTTTCTCACTGACGTGTCTTTTTTCGTTATTACTTAATGCGGATTACAATTTACACCGTTTTCACACCAAACGATTAAAATCACCACCGCAATCACGAATTTTTTTCTTACTAACTACTTCTCCTCTTTTTATCTCTTTATCTCTCTCTCTCTCTCTCTCTCTCTCTCTCTCTCTTTCTCTCTCTTTCTCTGTCTCTCTTTCTCTCATGTACAAAACCGCTTAAACACATATGTTACACATCTCACATATTCTTACAATTAGCACAGTTTTTCTTGCAATATAAACCGTCCTCTTTCGACCACGGCAATCAAAAGTCCTCACGCGATACGTATAAACACCTCACTCGATTACTGCAACCCCATTTTATGCCGAGAAATATCGAATAAGGTTGATGGCAAATCTCTGTCTCCGTTCTGGTTTTTCTCGGTAACTTTGCATACTTTTTTCTTCTATAATATTTTGATATATTTTGAAAACATGTACTTTTTAAATATATCAAAATATATCAAAATGTTATATAAGAAAACAGAATTTTCATCAACTTTATTCTTTTTACCAAATACAAAAATTACCGTGGAAGAATGTGCATGTTTTTTCCTTTTTTTAGGTTATTATACAATAATCATTAACGGTACGCTTTCAATCAGTCCGTTTGTGCAAGATTTGGATTGAACAGAGTTACACCGTTGATAAGCGTATTGCATTGCTACGCGATTTCACGAAGCTCGTGCGTTGCAGGAATAATTATTAGAGTAACATTAATGATTAAATATGCACGTCTGCGCTATGTAAATTTTTAAAATTTACATAATATTGAAATAAAAAAGTATTAATTAATATTTAGTTATGCAAATAGAACTGAAATGTAACATATGCGCGCGTTTAATTTTTCGATTCTGAATTTTAATTTACGGAACAGAAAGATTGAAATTTCTATCGAAAATTAACATCGGATTTATTACATAACAGAAATGATTGGCGCCATTCAATATCTGGTGAGAAACTATAGTTATAGCCATTATCATTTAATTAGAAACTTTTTACCAGATATTGAACGTCGAGTCGCGTATATGATCGCATTTCTCACGATTTTTGCAGTATTTTGCGGTGAGTTTCGTTTTTGTCTGCGTTGTTTATTTTTGTCGCAACCAGCTTGTCGAATTTTGTTTCTAATAAATAAATCAATTTTGGGCTTGCTTACTCGCTCGAGTCTCGTGTCCTCTTTGGGGTTGCAGGACGAGCAACGCTTTCTTATCGATTGCCTTGGTCGTATTTTGCAAGATTATACATTTATCGGATCTACAAACCAGTACCTGAGTTCACACACGCTTTCGTGAATTCATCAATCTTAATCCGATATAGTGATATTTCTTCTAAATTGATCGTGATTTAATCAAAGATTTATTACGTTTTAATGGATAGATATATAAATGAAAAGCGTTTTCATCGAACCGGACAAAATGTCGAATCACTCTGGAGGGAAAAACATTCCAGGAATTTCTACAGGACATGAATTGATCACAACATACACACAATCGGCTACGAACACGTACACGAATAAACGCGTGATGTTAATCAACAATGACACGATGAAAACACTCTCCGATCGAAAATATCTCATCGCGATTTCGTCAGCAATTACGCTTCAGCTGTTTCTTCTCTCAATTTTGTTCCAATACTATGTTGGTTCTATCATTTTGTTATCGAGCTTCTTTATGTATTCTTTTATTACGCCTTTTTGTTGCAAGCTGTATAAGATCGTGATCGTATTCGGTTGAAAAGGCGAAAAACTTTTTGACCGGTGAATTTGATTTGATTTAACTTGTGTGTGTGGGTGTGTGTGTTTTCATTTTTCTACGCTTAACAGAGGTTTACGTTTCATATCCGTGGCGATTGAAAGGGCAAGCAAATAACAACATCACGTTTCGCGGTGGATGGAATATTGTTTTTTACGAAAATTATAAAACTTTGCTCCATAAATCAATTATTTTTTATCTTGAAATTTACGTTTAATTCAAATTTTAATATCAAATTTTTTCACGGTATTAATTTTTATAATCTTTTATAATTCTTTTCTCATATATTTGCGCTTTCAATTGCCTAAGAACTTTTGTACATAAATGATTTGCGTGTTTTCTGTCGCTTACGCGCTTTTCTTCTAACGTGCAACGAGTCGCGTGTGTGTTGGAAAAATCCATGTTCGAAAGACGATACTTTTATTCGTTTCAAATAAATTTATAACAAGCTGAGAGCTTCAAGCGTGAAATATATAATATTAATCTAAAAATTAATCGGATCGTTTCGATTGAAACACGATGGATTTTGCATGATAGTCATAAAAGTATCGAGCTCGATCTCTTTCAGTGTGAAAGCGTTCAAATCGATGTACATTTGTACTTACTGTTACTGTTTCGATGTTTGAAAGTGATTTTTCTTAAACGGAGAGCTTCCAAATTTTCGGCAGGTAAGAAGGAACAGGAAGCATGACAGAATCTCCGTTTCTTTTTATCCTAAATCACTTAAATTTAATTTCGATGAGTAGCTTTCTTTTTTTTTTATTTCGGCGATTGCTTGCAGCCAATTTACAATTATTATACTTTATTCAAATTAGATACATCAATAACGATCATAATTTGATGTATCTTGGAAGCCCCGATAAATTTCTATTCTTCTCGAAACTCTATATAAATTTAGAAAAAAAGCTCTTTCTATCCTTTCTTTTCTCTTTCTCTCTTGAATCGATGCAAGTCGAGCTTACTTACAACAGGAAAGTCGTCACTTCAGTCGTCTCAAAAGGCAGATGCGACGCTTTAATAACGGCATGAATTAATATTGAAAGTTATCTCAGCCTTTAAATGTCGATTCGCGATTAAATTGGACAAGGCGAATTCTCCGTTTCAGCGATTGATGTGCAACCGGAGTGACGACTTCCGGCAGGAGTGACACTTCCAACATGGAAATGGCCTTCACGCGAACGTCATATGATCTGATAAATGTCTGTTTGTGCGGGGAATGTGTAATAGAAACGATAGACTCAACCTGTCAAGATATCGTGATTTTTACAACTTTGATGCAAAAGAAACACAGTCTCTATATCGACATATCAAAAAATAATTATCCTAAAAATTAAGGAATTTTTAAAGTTGAGTCTCTCATTCGTTTTGTATATATGTCCTTTACACGTAAGCACATTTTGTTGCAAAGGCACGATTCATCCTCGCACGAGCAGTTTTTCAAGCGAGACAGTTATGCGTTATCATATTTTGATAACGAAGACATCGGGCAAATATAAGTAGTAACGGACGGCGTTCAGTAAGGCCGATTTCTATGTCTCGAAAGTGTGGACTGGACGAGAGTCGAAAGGAGATGATTGGGGGCGCTCGAGAGATAAGAAAAATGACAAATTATTTTCAGACGACGACGCTGATCGGACTCTTGAAGACGGCCCGTCTGCTGCGTCTCGTCAGGGTAGCCAGAAAGATCGATAGATACAGCGAGTACGGAGCTGCGGTTTTGTTGCTCTTAATGGCCACCTTTGCCCTCATTGCTCATTGGATGGCGTGCATATGGTGAGTAATCGTGTACCTTCGAAATTTATGCTTCTTATTTTACGACTTTAATTACATCTAGTACCGATACATCTCTTCAGCTATGACTTTATGATCAATTTGAAGTTGATTTTCCCTTAGGAAAACTTTGTGTTAGAAATTCTCCTTTATTGCGAGCTTTTAATTGATTGGAAAATATGTGACTCGAAGGGATATCCTTGTAATATTCTCTGGAACCTCCTGAGCTCGCTATATTACCTCGATATTTCGCGCTTTTTAAAGGTACGCCATAGGAAACGCCGAGAGACCAACCCTGAAGAGTAAGGTTGGTTGGCTGGATATTTTAGCCAACGACACGCATCAGTTTTACTTTCACAATAACACTGGTGGACCGAGTATAAAAGTAAGCCATTCGCTTTATTTGAGCACGCGCGATCCCTTTTGCTCAACGTGTAACAATGTAACTTTTTTCCAGAGTCGCTACATCACGGCGCTGTATTTTACCTTCAGTAGTCTTACGTCCGTAGGCTTTGGAAACGTGGCGCCCAATACCGACGCCGAGAAGATCTTTACAATAGTCGTCATGTTGATCGGATGTGAGTCGATAGATAATATTTGTGTATAGAGGCATTATTAAAGATAAAAAGATATAACCAATAATTAAATAAAAACTAAACAATAATGAAAATAAATAAAATAAGTGCTCTTTGTTTTTACGGGGAAAAAAATATTAACATTTAGTATTTGCGGAAAACATTCTTTAAATTCTTTTAATAACATTTTTTGCTAAATTTAATTTGTGCCTGGAATCGCTGAATATCCACGGTTTATTTTATGTTTATCTTACGTTACGACGATTTCAGCTCTGATGTACGCTAGCATCTTCGGTAATGTATCGGCGATCATTCAGAGGTTGTACAGCGGCACAGCCCGGTATCACACGCAGATGCTCCGAGTTAGGGAATTCATAAGGTTCCATCAGATTCCGAATCCCCTTCGCCAGCGATTGGAGGAGTACTTTCAACACGCGTGGACCTATACGAACGGCATTGACATGAATAGTGTTCTGAAAGGATTCCCCGAGTGCCTTCAGGCTGACATCTGTCTTCATCTCAATAGGAATCTTTTAAACAATTGCCGAGCCTTCGAGGGGGCTAGTCCAGGTTGTTTAAGGTAATTATTTCCGATGTATTTCAAAAATCTTGCAAAATCATAGAAGAATAAAATTTTATCATTGTTTTAATAATATGTGATTTTTATAATTGATGAAAATATTGTTGTTTTTTTTTCGCAAATCAGGGCATTATCCTTAAAGTTTAAGACGACGCATGCGCCGCCTGGTGACACTTTAGTTCATCGGGGGGACGTATTGACCTCCCTGTATTTTATATCCCGCGGGAGTATCGAGATACTGAAGGACGACATCGTGATGGCCATTCTGGGCAAGGACGATATATTCGGCGAGAATCCGTGCATTTATCCGACGGTCGGAAAATCGTCCTGTAACGTTCGCGCCCTTACTTATTGCGATCTTCATAAAATCCACCGGGACGATCTGCTTGATGTTCTGGCGCTTTATCCAGAGTTCTCCAACCATTTTAGCCAAAATCTTGAGATTACTTTCAATATGCGAGACGTAAGTATTTCTCTCAATTTTTTATTATTAATATAATTTGCTCTCTTTTTCTCTCTGTTTTGCCTCAAAAATTTTATTACTAGCTTATCATGAAATTTATAAAGAAAAATTTATGTATATATATTTACATTATATTTTATAGTCTTAAAACTTTTATTTTGTTTTATTTTATTATTATTTAAATTAGCTTAATAATTTATATTCGCGCCAAACCGATATAATTACAACAGTCTAATTCGCGAGTGACATCATTAAATTATTGTTTCATCTCAGGAGGAGCAGGCTGGTGTCGATCCAATATCAGCAAGGTTTCCTATCAGCACTCCTACCGACGTCGATATCGACGCCAGGAGATTCGCTTTCCGTCCACCAAGATATCGTCGAGGACCCGGCGGTCCTGGCACAAATCTTATTCCCACAGGTCAACAAGACTCGTTGCAAGATGATCAAGATGACTAGTAAGATCATCTCATCTTTTTCATCCATATTTATTTTTCGATTTATTATTAATAACAAAATTTATATTCAAAGAATAAAATAAACAAAATGAAAAATATCCACAAACAAAATTATTTAAAAATTAAAGAAAGATAAAAGTGCAGTGTTTGCTGTAGTATATCCTCAATTTTATTTTTATCTGTTGCAGTGATAAAGGCAGCGGCCATGGTATCTTAGAGTTCAGCACGGACAAAGCCGGTCAGGATGTAACGCCGTTAAATCTGGAATTCGACGAGCCCAAGCAGAGGAGCTCGACCTTAAACTCGATAACTGGTGAGAGCGATTATTTCTTTGGTGGACTTCCTCATTTCGGGGAAATGATATTACAATCTTTTTCTCTCTCCCTTTTTCATGTTTGTTTCTAATATCCTGTTTGAGGAATGTTGTTCTTTGCACGATATAGAATCTCCATAAAGCAGGATATCTTCTTTTAATATTGATCAAGATTTTGGATTTTTTCGATATTTTCTTTTTAACTAATAATAGCAGGATCCCTTGTAAAAATTGATTGCAGGCATTTACGCTCGCATTGACGTTTCACATGTATTTGTAAATCCCATTGTCAATGCCAAATTTGCTTGATTTTAGATTTTATTTGCCTAACATTGCGGTGAATAAAGATAGAGGATTATATAAATGCATTTAGCGTTAAATGGGCGATGTAAACATGGATCTTAGAATCAACTATTCAGATTCGCTTATAATTTGTAATTGTAATTTGTAACGATATTAAAGCGTATTTTTTTCGTAGGCTTTTTAAAATATATTTTGCCTCCAACTCGATGTAGCTTACATAATGTTATCGATTCTTTCGGTCTATTTATCGTTTTATTAATGTTATATGATTTTCCTGTTATAGAGCTCTTTTTTTTCTTTTTATCTCCCTTTCCCTTCTTTAAGCTCTCTGCGTATTGCTTTTTGTTTGAATCCCAAGTTCGATAACACCTTGAAACCTGGTTGTTCAGGCATGCTAACCCATCTCAAGCGCAGCATACCGGATCTACGTCAGCACAAGATTCACCTGCAGCCGCTTACCAGCCACGATTATCTCGCCAAGCAAAGTAAGTATATTTCGTGTATTTCAAGTATCGAAGTAGATTGGCTCGATCCTGCACGATTTAAATCGTCCCCGACCTGCGGAGATCCACTGCACCGCTCGCTCGCCAGAATCCAGAAGAGAACGTATGACCATCGACTCACTTGTATCCCTTGATCGCGATGCACGTCGTAGTAAAAAAGTCCCTTAGCGCGAGTATATTTGTATGTATGCGCGACAAGAATATCTTATTTTATACTCTTTTTTTCTCTTTTTCACCTGCATAATACTTGCGATATTCATTGATGGCGTTTAAACCTAGTAACTACGCCGCTGACGAAACCAGCGCGCCGGAGTTCCGCCGCTGGCGAGAGTAGCCTCAGTCAAAACGTCGTTCATCCCACTTCGACAACGTCGAGCCACTACACCACACCATCGCCCCCGCAGCATCCTCATTCCCATGGTAGGGGTTCATTTATCTTAATCTCAGTAATTTACGCGTGACAATTACTATGCACTCGTCACTCGACGATAATAAAATTCCGCGCGCCTTGTGTCATCATCTCGTACATTCATTATACATCGATCCTATTATCGTGAGATGTGATGCGAGTTTTGTACGCATCCTCTTGGACGATCGAATTGTCGCGAGATAAATACGTTTGCTCTTTCAGGCGACTTCCAGAGCGGCCCGGGTCGGCCCGTGGAGGAGATCAACGCCAGGATCGATCTGCTGTCGCGACAGGTGTCCTCGCTGGAGCACTCGATGGCCGGTGACATCAGATTGATCTTGAGCTTGCTCCAGCAGACACTCAACTCGTCCAGGGAGAGCTCCAGCATCGAGATGATGCCGGGGGCTGGCGCGAGACAGAGTAGCCGGGCACCGGCGTTGGTCCAGAGATCGGCGAGCGAACCGCAACCACCAACAGTCCCGGCGAGCAACGGAAACGGGAAGATTCAGCCCAGCACGTCGCACGGATTGTTCAGGTAAATAGCGAAAATTGGAAATCTCGCGCGTTAAATTTCGCTTCTAATTATCCAGTCGGATCGCGTTCCTCTCGTGCGCATTGATAATACGACGCATTGAAGAGATAGTCGTGCGCGACAGCAACGCGTTCGGATTACGGTAGAGGGTTTACGATGTTTCCGCGGTGCGGTAGATTCCTATGAATTAAAATGTAAGAAACCGCAAGAAGTAATCGATATTTTATTATTCTTGGAAAGCCTTCTTTCGAAATCCCTGGATCAGTTGCATTTGATTTCGGCGTCTTTTATTTTGGAAAAGTTGGACAAGTTCCGAAGGTGACCATTATCACGTATTCTTCTTTGAACCCTTTGTGCGAGCAGTGTCATGGGAATCAAATCAAGCAAGCAACATTAACATATCTATAATGTTGAAAATTAAATTTGCCCTTCTCGATTACAAGCATGATTATATGTATAAAATTCTAAAAATCGACAATCGAGTCGCGTTAATGACTGGCATCGACAATTTTATGTAAAGCAGAGATGTAGATATTCTCCTAAAGACGACGTATATTATTATTGATTTCATTTCTTTATCTTAGAATATTGTATTCTTGCCGTAGATACATTTCTAGCGTCGCACGCTTTGATACTTATATTAATCATAATATTGAATATTTAGAAATGCAAGAAACATTAAGTTGAGATAAAAAAAGTATTCTTTTATTAGAAAAGATTTTTCTAATTTTAGCACGTACTTCTCTCTCTTTCTTTCTTTACTCTATCTATACTCGCTCTGACGTATAATCTCTGCAATATCTAAGCATTTCTCTTCGTTTCGAAAACTGTCGAAGAAAATACTTGACTTAGCAGTAGTTAGTAGTTAATAAAAATGTTGGTTAACTTTAGCTTAATTATTTCTTATATCTGTTTACGTGTAGTTAATTAAACTATAGTTGAAGTTGAAAAAACCGGTCTTTTGATATGATAAATCATCCTTCATTCTTAACTGTCTTTTGCGTACATTCTCATCATCATCTATTATTCGTATCAACCAATCGTAGCCGAGAGAAATGGTCGATGTCAGTCCCTTTACGCGGTCGATAATCCCGATGTCATCGTGACACTGCTCGGAATCAAACTTAGAAGATTAGAGGCCTGTGTCGAATATTCCACTGTACATATAACCACGTACGCTTCAAGTATTATTATCTCGCTCAGCTACCTTTAGCGGTTCTATTTATTATACTTATACTTAACGAGAAAGCTCGCGCGTGCACCCGCGCGTCGATCAGCTGATGCAAGAACGTCACTCCCCTCTGTAGTAGACCTCCCACGAGGGAGCCGACCTCTACGTCATCGGGCACGTCGCGGCTGACCGTCACGTCAGAGGCGTCCGCACTTGCAACGGCATTACAGACGGCCCTTAACAATCGCACCGGGCCCACGAGGTCGCAGAGCCAACCGGTTGATCTGGCCGTACCAACCAGCACGCAACAGCAGGCCCACGCTTGGCACAGTCAGCCCGCCGCCTTAAGAAGGGGTGAATACCGGAGTGGGTAGGTAGCTTGATAAAGGGCTTTTCGCGTCAAAGATTTTTTCTTGACTTAGAGCAAAGAACTGCACAAAGTATCGGGTCCAAATGATAAAATGGAAAATTCGACTGCTGGCGGTGGCGCCTTTTCCGAACTCGTTTCAACTTATTTATCGTATCGTTCTGTTTCCAACTTTGTTTTTTGGCTTGGAAAGCGCGCTACCGCGCGTCGGTTGCTAAACGCGGACGCCGAATTTCTTTCCATCCGCGTTTGGTAACCGGCGCTCGACGCTGGTCAGGACGACTCTACCAACCGCGTTGATGATAGCGTGTCCTGCGACAGATACAGCTCGTTCAATAAACGATCGGAACCGGAGGGCGAGGATCCCTGGAGCTGCGTGGTGTCGGAGGAACGTGGAGGCGGTGCAGGCCAGCGTCCTCGAAGCGGCGACTCACGCAAGGATCCGTCGAACCATCGCGGCGGCAACGGCACCGAGACCGCGTCGGGGCAACAGGGTCGATCGGAGAGCAGACAACAGGAAGGCGGTGGCAGGGGACAGCAGGCGAGCGGTTCGCGACAGCAGGAGTCCTCGAGGCAGACCAGCGACGATATGTCATGGGAGTTCACGATAAACGAGGCGCCGATCGCCAGGCTCGAATCGCTGGACGAGCTCGATCAGGATCACGGTAGTTAAGGGGGAAGTGCGGGAGAAGGGGGGAAAAAAATGTCCTGTCAGCCGGGAGCTACGACATCGCCGTGAGGATCGGCCTCCTCGTCCCAAGGGGACGCGGAAAGTCGCGACGAGGAGAAGCGCAACTGAGGGCCGTTTGATTCCTCTCTTGAGGAAATCTCGTTTTTAATCCGATCGACAACGTAGTCAACGCGACGCTACGCTTATCTCGAAGTTAAATCATCTACAGCTGAGCCGCGAGCAATGTAAAGCGACGCCTGCAGGTCAACTTTAGAGCGTGTAATGTTGAAGGAAGCGTAGAGGGTTGAAAGTAGGAATCCCCATTTGTTAATAATTTGTTTACATTAAAGATAAAAAAATTAAAAAGGATAATATAGCGAGTTGAAGCATAAGAAAGGCTATCTGTACATCGACATAATTTTTTAAACTTTTTATTCGAATTATGATGTAAAGAATGTAAGATACTCTTGTAATAATAATATTTCACGAATATGAGAATTACGAGAGTATGATAATAAAAAAGTTTTGAAAAATTATATTAAAAAATCGTAGAAACTTGACATTTTTTAAAAATAAATATTAAAATATTTTATGCTTCCTCCAGTTACATACGCTCTAGAACATCAACGGACCTGTAAGCGTGAACATTATGTTTTTGTACTCGAAACAGCGAGAGCATCGACTGTGAAATGTACATTTTCGTAATGTGAATGTACCTTTTTTTTTTATTTGCCAAGAGTATCTCTCGCATTATACCGACATGTAACGGCCGTCACATGTCTCGTTTCGCTCTGCTAATTCGGATTAAACGGTCGCTTGTTAAAAATCATCGTACGATTTAGGCTCTTGAAACATTCGGCTTCAGGTCGACGAGCGCTTGTCTCTTCGGGATTCCCGACAGCAATTCGATATTCGTTTCTTCATATCGATTTTTTACGCGTCGAGAAGAGAAGCAAACGAAAGAAATACACCGTATTCGCCAATTAGACGCCAATTATTTTACTCACACAGGATCGCAAATAATTATTTATATATATTTACACGTTGACACACTCGTACGCGCTGTATATCATAAGATAGGCACGTTAAAGGCGAAAGAGATGCATTGAAAGTACGTTGGAATCGCGGAGATTTTGACGGAGGACGAAATCGCGAACCAAGTGTTTCGTCTTGCGCGAGATTAAACAGTCGCAGAAAAAAAAAAAAAAGAAAAAGAAATATCTAACCCGTTAGATATCGCATAGATATTCCCACGACGAAATATGGCCGGATACGAAAAGTACGCGATGATTAAAAGTATGTTGAGAAAAATGATCGTTTTAGAGCTGATTTATTTTATCGCGCGAAATATTTTGGTAGCCTTCGCGATTCGCATTCTCGCCACATTTCAATGTTAAATCGCGATAAGAAACGCGACACTTTTGGATCGATATCCGTTTGTTGGAAAGAACGAAAGAGCGAAAAGTAGTTTTCGAGCGAATTAGTCGCGATTTCTGGCGGGTTAATTAATTAAGACGATCGTTAGGGCACCTTCCTTTTTTATTCTTGCTTATATAGGCAACGTTAGACGACGGTATTAAGGTAACGATACTTAAGACAAGTTTCTCGCAATGTCGAAAGGTATTATCGCATAGTAATTTAAGCCGGTTAAACATCGCTGGAACACAAAGAAACAATTTTTCTTTTTTTTTTCAGCCGCCGTACAAAGTAGCCATGTCCTTTATACAGACATAACGCGACAGGATATGTCGCACAGGCGACATTAGACGATTATCAAGATCTTTATAATTATGATTGTTATTATATTATCTCGTAATTATTATTATGATTACTATTATTATTATTATTAGTACTCTTATGATTATTATCGTTATTATTATTATCACTATTATATATATAGCAATGAAAGAAGCGCAAGCGTGACCGGTGGGAGGGAGGGAGATGAAGAAAATAACACCGACGATATAAAGCCTACGCAATAATACAATATATATACTTATACATATATACACATATACAGAGAGGAAAAAGCATATATGTATATGTATGTGTGTATATATATATATATATATATATATATATATATATATATATATATATATATATATATATATATATATATATATATATATATATATATATATATATATATATATATATATATATATATATATATATATATATATATATATATATATATATATATATATATATATATATATATATATATATATATATATATATATATATATATATATATATATATATATATATATATATATATATATATATATATATATATATATATATATATATATATATATATATATATATATATATATATATATATATATATATATATATATATATATATATATATATATATATATATATATATATATATATATATATATATATATATATATATATATATATATATATATATATATATATATATATATATATATATATATATATATATATATATATATATATATATATATATATATATATATATATATATATATATATATATATATATATATATATATATATATATATATATATATATATATATATATATATATATATATATATATATATATATATATATATATATATATATATATATATATATATATATATATATATATATATATATATATATATATATATATATATATATATATATATATATATATATATATATATATATATATATATATATATATATATATATATATATATATATATATATATATATATATATATATATATATATATATATATATATATATATATATATATATATATATATATATATATATATATATATATATATATATATATATATATATATATATATATATATATATATATATATATATATATATATATATATATATATATATATATATATATATATATATATATATATATATATATATATATATATATATATATATATATATATATATATATATATATATATATATATATATATATATATATATATATATATATATATATATATATATATATATATATATATATATATATATATATATATATATATATATATATATATATATTTATATTTGTATATATATATATATATATATATATATATATATATATATATATATATATATATATATATATATATATATATATATATTCTATAAATTTTTTACAAAGCATTTCGAGTCACTATTGCTCTTAAACGCGTAATAAACGTTGGTTTCTCTTCCTCTCTTTTCGTTTCTTGTCCTCCCACGATATCTCTCAATTTCCGTCACTGGTGTCGCGAACCGGTTAAAAAAAAACGGCTGCTTTTTTTTTTCAGCCGCCGTACAAAGTAGCCATGTCCTTTATACAGACATAACGCGACAGGATATGTCGCACAGGCGACATTAGACGATTATCAAGATCTTTATAATTATGATTGTTATTATATTATCTCGTAATTATTATTATGATTACTATTATTATTATTATTAGTACTCTTATGATTATTATCGTTATTATTATTATCACTATTATATATATAGCAATGAAAGAAGCGCAAGCGTGACCGGTGGGAGGGAGGGAGATGAAGAAAATAACACCGACGATATAAAGCCTACGCAATAATACAATATATATACTTATACATATATACACATATACAGAGAGGAAAAAGCATATATAAAAAAAAAGGCTGGGGGAAACAGCGATCGATCGATCCTCGGGGATCTTGACCTTGGCTCGCGACTTTACGGTGAATTTTTACGATTTACGATTTGCGACGCGGATCGAGACGAGAGAATAAGAAAGAGAGAGAGAAAAAGAGAGGAGAGTCAGATAGATTCACTTGGGTATGGCGCTTCGAGGATCGTTCACGGATCACCGATCGCTGATCTGTTCGTTCTTTGCTCAGTATTCTAGGCTGTACCGAATACATTCGATGTAACGATTACTAAATACACACGATTCATAGTTAATTCTCTGCGACGAAGCGGTGGATGCAGCAGCGCAGCGCTAATAATAGGGAAGGGGGGGAAACGCAGCTTTCAATTTCGCAGATGACGATTTTTTGATTGTTAAATTACCAGTAGTACACGCAGCACACGTGGATTCTCGCACTTAGGTACACGGCAGGAGTTGTATTACGTACGATATTTAGATACGATCCTTTAGAAGGAGGGAGAGAGTCCGGCGTGGTCCCGGCCGAGGACGACCACGTTCGCCGCACGAAACCTGTCTCGAATCATTGACATATGACAAAAAAAAAATACATATCATCGCCTAGCCTCTGTCGCTGTATCACTCTCAATTAAAGAAATTAAAACGGAAATGTAAAGCCAGGGGCTGGTTCCCCTCTCGAAGAATATATTACAAGTCTGTAAAAAAATATACTCTACTCCTTAACTGGTATGGCATTATCTATTAGAATACCGCATTATAAATGTGAATAATTTTTTATTTTCTTAATTTGTGTCTTAAAAATAAATATCTACAATTTTTGTTTTATTTTTCTTATTTTGAGAATAAACTGACTGTGTGTATTAAATATCAATACTCTCTGTCGTACCAATTAAGGATTATCTACTTTGATGTTGTCTCAATCAATATCGCTATTTTTATAGACGGATATAAGAATGTGAAGAAGCAATGCTCATAATTTTATAGTATATCATATTAAATAATCACGATAGATTACGGATATATATCATCCGCGCATTTTATTCATGTTAGAATTATGCATGGAAAGAAATTTAAATTGTAGAGGACACTTTCGGTGTAAAATTTGTATTTTCGATGAAGTAAAGACCCCTGTGTAGAAATAATTTTGAGAAGGAAATAAAATTTTCAATTTTATTTAAATTTTCTTTCGATATTCGGAAATAATCTAAAAATGACAGGATCGAAAGCTCGATGTGAAGAATTGAGAAACTATAACCGGTCGAACGTGATCGCCCTCAGTCGCGCAGAAACGGATGCAGTTGGCGAAGATACTGAAACGCGAAAGTGAGGAGCACGCGTGATTGAGAAGTTGTCTCTTCTTGTGTTATGAAAAATTACGAGTCCGATCGATCGATCGGATTTTCGATGACTTCGACTCCCCACGAATGCGCAAACACAATTACGAGTAGTAGATGCCACGTTTACAGATACTTTGACACTTTAAATCTTTCTCGCGCGCGGGGAAACATGTATGTAACATTTTTTACATAGTGTCTGCGCCCAATTGTAAATTTACGCTGTGCAAGACAAATGCGTCGCTTCTTCGATTCCAAAGCAGGAGACCGAGAGCAGCTGGAGGCTAATTGTCCTGTGATCACGATTAAAAAGCCGTAGCGGAATTCGCTCTCGCAATCCCATCGGGGAAATTATCATCTTAAGCAAAGAAATACCCCACATTTTTGTCATTAATATATTCCGCGGTTTAACGGAGAAAGGAAATAGAGGGAGAAAGATAGAGAGAGAGAGTCCGTTCAAGCAGCGAACGAATGACGAGCGCAATTGCTTTTTTTATATTTTGAGACTTCGATTCTAATTGTATCGATTTGTTAATCCTCGCTTTTACCGAACGTGATTGGCACCGATACGCGCACGCGTCTGTCTTTTTCTAGAATTCCGAGGAGCTTCGGTATCGCGGAGAGCCTTTCCATTTTCGGCAATTTCGCAAAATTGCTTGCAAGAGAATGCTGAGCGCGAGTTCGTCATCGAAACAGGATCATCCGGAGTCCTTCCATCGCGGTGTTTCGCGACTATCGCACCGAATATCATCGAGTATACCTTTGATCCCTCAGATTCTCAATCTCTATCGCCTGTACCGCCGAGATGAAAAATAGAATCCTGCGATCTCTCATCGAAGCCGTCTCTTGCTTTTTTTTCCTCTATCGCGGTTGGTCCACTCGCGCGGATACATAGATATATACATACGTTCGAGGCGGATTCGCGCTGCGAACGAGGAGAGTTCGCCTCGCGTTCAGGCTGTGCAAAAAGGCGTTTACTTGCAGAAGTATTGATTCCAAAAGCGAAAGACGCGTATTGGACGAAGCTCGCGACTGATTCCGCATCGGTTCCTGGACCGAGGACGAAATTGAATCGAAGTTTCGATAATATCTTCTTTCACGATAGTGTCGCGCGAGGGGCGAGAGGAGAGAGAAGAAGGTGAATGAAAGGAGAGGGGAATTCCCACAACCGCGATAGATGAATCTAATCGCGTGTTCTTTACCCAGATTCAGCGGTTTACGATTGTTCTGTATATACATATATATACATATATATATATGATATAATCTCTTGGATTATGTACGATTGTACGCCGAGCGCACTGATTTGTAAACACGTAACATGGAAATTAGTTCGAAAGTGAGCGTGACAAAGGAGAGAGACTTCTTGCACCGCCCCCGCTTTGCTCCTGCCCTTCAGCTAACACTCCCGGACGTAGGACGAGATGGTCCTGTATGCGGGCCCGTTACGTTACCGAACCTCCCGATGCGTTCTCCCCAGGACGGAAAACAAACGATCTTTTAAGCGGGGAATGAAAGTCAAATTTGTTAGCTTTAGTTTCATTTGTTTGAAGACTAAAGCATTGTTTCTCTGCATTTCTTTTTTAATAAAGCTGCAAATTACACTTGTAATGGTTTAATTAGATTTTAGAAATATACAAAAAGCGAGGAAAAATTGTGCGAATATGCTATTTTAGATGTTGAATCACGTGTTATGGATATACATATATTAAATTTTCTATATTATCGCGTAGAGACTGTTAGTCAACAGAGAGATTCGATGGTGATTGGCGGTGGAGCAGGTGCTGGGAGTGGCGGTGGTACCGATGGTGACGAAGCCGTGTTGTGTATCTATAAGTTTTCATATATTGCATAAAATATGTTTATTACATATTTTCACTATGCCAATTTACGCATTTATTTATTCATATCTGCCCCACTATATCCGGCTTTCCCGAGCTACCCTCTAATCTGTCGTCCTTTCGTGCAAATTATTTTCATCGAGATCACGAAAAATCATCAATTATTAAACAGAACAAAATTATAAATCGAAAAGATTATTCTTAATTTTTGTTGCTCTATATAATTGTTAACAAATATCTATAATTTTTATCGTTTTATTCTGTCTCTGATGCTGTATCAAAAACCGAAGAATTTAGGATAATAATAACGGAAAATAATAACAAAAATGAATAATAATGTTATATTTCTGAAAAATGATGATAGAATGTTTGTTCTTTAGTCTTTAATGTCATTTGTCATCAATTCGTGATGATCGAAATTGATTATCGACTCGCGAAAAATTGCCGCTTTCAAGATTCGAAGCGAAACGAGGTAAGGTAAGTGAAAATATTCTCGTAATGAATATTATGACATACAAATAGTCTGAGCATATAATATATCAAATAAACGAATGATTTATCTCATTGATTTCTAAGCTATTTACATTTTATTGGGAATTTTGCTTCCTTTACACTATTTACATTTTATTAAATCAGCCTGAAGACATCGTTTATTTATTATTTCGTTATTAATACGAAAGCTATCCGTGTTACATCATCTTACGCATTTTTGATATGTGTGTGTTCGAATGTAAATGTTACATAGTTGACACGCAACCGAGACTTATATAAAAATAATTAATGCGCGGTGAAAACGCACCGCAAATGATTCAAAGCGACTCGGAGGTCGATTATTCGCGATTGGAAACTTGATGTCTGGAATGAGCCAGGAAACGCCTGTAAACGAAGATCTTTGAGTCGTTACAATTCAATGCACGGATGGCAATCATCTCGTTATTACGCACATAAAATACAGCTCATAAATTATGTATCCACGACTAATCGGCTCTCCCCCGCGAATTACAATCGGGATATAAATCGATGTCTATAAAGACATACTTTCTATTCCATATCGTCGGAAAGACAATAGAGGTAAGGGGACCATCACGCTGTAATGGTTTTAGTTTCATTCCGCGTGGACGAGAGTTGTCAGAATTGCACGTAATAATTATTGATAAATATATAATTACCAAATAATTATTTAATTTACAATCGAGATAAATGGACGCCATAAATCTAAAAAATTTTAATTCTTGACGATATAATTCTGTAATACAGATATTATCTTATCTTCATTGTGTCAGTTCATTACTCAAGTACACGTAATGAAAATGAGCACATTACTTATTGTTAATGAGCAGGCTCGATGTTTCAAAAAGATGACATGCATTGCAGCTTTCGTTCACGTGACTCGACTTGTGAATTTCGTCAAAAATAATATCTCAAGTTCTTCCTTTTCCGCGTTTCTATGTGCTTTAAAATGTGCATGCGACGCGACGCGTAATTTCGGTTTGCATTCGTGACAGGTTGGAGTTGGCGCGATGGAAATCGAAGAAAGTAAATGAGCGGTTCCACATGATACATACAATGCTTGACAATCTGACATCTGCAATGCTAACGACACATCCGTATTTATTTTATTATTGTATTGTTAAACTTTCATCTCACGAGACGTTCTAAAACACGCATTTTACGTAATTGTATTTACCTATCGATTCGATTTATTAATACAGTCGCCATTCGATCACTATAAGTATAGACACAGTTGTATAAATCAACACGTCAAAATTCCAGAGTATATATTTGACGATCGTAAAATTATAGATTCTTATGAGACACTGTCTGCATTTATTCGCGAAATCATCAAAAAATTTGAATAGTAAAGACACAATATTTGCATCATCATATTATTATCACACATTTTTTTATTTTTATATTTGAATTTCATATTTATAAGACAAAACAGCGTACGAATTAATCTGAGGAATTAATATACAATAAAATTAAATCGATAATATATCAGAAAAATGTTAATTCGAAATTAGAATATTTCAATTTTATAATATATATATCTATTTACTTTCTTTCAGTTAATTATGTAATAACATTAATTACGTACACGACAGGAAATAATAAAATTCGCTTAATTATTATTCACGAGATAAACCTAATGAGCTATAACGTAATAGTATAAGCGTCAATTTTGGCAGACCCGCAACCCGGCAAGATGGATGTCACTTTCCTACGAGGTGGGAGTCGGTATAAAGAGAAGATATATTCCATGGCGATGGTCAGTGAGCTCAGTGAGAGTGCCGTGATCATTTCGCCGTTGTACCGTGAAAGTCAAGTATGAAGGTACGCGTTTCGCAATCTCATCATTGTGCCTCGCATGCTACTCGCATTGTCAAAATGTGTGAAGTGTCAATTGAAATTTAAACCCGCATAAAAGACACGCTTAATTCACGCCGGAATTAATCTCTGTGTGATTGATATTCATCAAAATCTCTCTCGCACCTCCTCACCTCCTCGTTAGAGGACTTTGCAAATTTTACGACGAGCGATGGAAAAGTGCCATAATCTTTTATCAATAAAAACTTTACATATTTACTTTTCGAAATGCTCGGTAGCTAATTACGTGCGATTTATCATCATCATCATCCGTTTGTCGATTTCACGCCGCGCCGCTCGAGAGCAAGGCGCCTTCTCAATGCCACGTGAAAGTTGTGTCCGTAACCTTTCTTCGGTATACTCCTCGCGTTGCGAGTTTCACATGCAACAATGAGGGGAATATGCGGAACAGTTTCCTCAACAGCTGCACAGACCGCGAGCTGTGAAGAGATAATTAATCTGCGGCTAAAATGCCTTTGTCGAAAGTCGCCACATCCGCGAGTTTTCTTCCAAGACGATAAACTTATTTCAACAAATCACATTGTTTCGTGAGATTTAAGATGTTAATTCCGAATGCATTGTATTTATTATAATTCCTGCTCTTGCTATAGCTTGCATTTTTACTACCACAGATTACTACTGCAGATTCTTTCTGATCGCGAAATTGTTTGCTAAATAAATCTAAATGACTCATTTTTCACGTATTAATTTTTTTGGCTGCGAGTTTTTATTTGCAAAGAGAAAGGTCTTTAATTTTTCATGAGATATTTTTATTTATGGCTTTAGACTTTTTAAAAGTATCTTAAAAATTTTTACGAATAAACTGCAAAATCATCAAAAAGTATGATTTTATCGCTCGTGTTGCTTTGATATATCCTCTTGTAAGATTTACTTTCTAATTAGATTTACTTTTAATAAAATAATCGTGCGTGTCTAATATATGGCAAAAGATGGAAGAGTCAATAGATATAATCGAAAATTTTATTTGTGAAGTGTGAAGATTTCAAACCGGAAGTTTGTCTTCGTTTATCTCTTCACATTGGCTTTCTGTGAAGAGAAAATAGCTTTCTTTTGAAAAACTCGATTTGCCTAGTAAACTGAAATATAAAAATAATCATTAGCTGACGTTTAATCGCTACTTTTTAGAAACCATCGAGAATGTACGCGAAAAACTAGGTCAGTCCATGACTTTGCATATGCAAGATCAAGGTTATAACGATTACTCTCGCTCATTCAAGCAACAAACGGCCGTTCCGCGATCAATTACATCGAAAGATCACGCCCGGATAGTTCACACGTCATAGACTATGTTTATACGTTACCCTTAATTGGGTTTAATAACATCCGTAGTTTTAAAACTGACCAATTACGACTATTCCTCTGAAGAAAGGAACGACTGTAATTAGTCAATTTTAGGATGTTATTAAACCCAATTAAGGGTGACGTGTGAACATAGTCATTAAAACAATTCATTATTGTTTCTTGTGGACACGTGTTTTCTTCCTTGAGATCGCTCGTTGTTCGATTTATTTACAATCTACAAATTAGCGATTACTTTCGCTGATACTCGTAACAAACCAGATTGTTCTGAGAATGAATTACATAAGTTCATGCCGCGTTTTATATTGCTAAGGAGCGGTGTTTCGCTTTATTTGTCTCACCATATCTATGTGAAATCATCAGTATCGACGAGATGGTCGTTTCTGCCTCAAGTCATGTACGATGCACATAGTGAACGTATTTCAAACGGCCGGTAGTCGCATGACTTTCACCCAGTATCGCTCTACTTGCTGCATTTCTGTTGATACGCTCCACGCTTAAGTCATTTTTCAAGATCAACCCTTGACCCTCAGAATAATTCGTAGTCATTAATTCAATTTAATGAGAACGCGACAGAGACTTTCCTAAGATATTACTTAGCAGCTGGCATGCTATTGCTACCGCATCCTTAATATACGATCAATGATGTACAATTGTCGCTTCGAAGAGAGTTTCCATAAATTAGTAGATATTATAATTATACATATTGTCGTTTCTCTCATCGTGCGTTTCAGCTGAGGGAATTCTTGATAGTGACGTGGTGCTCGATAATCGTGGCTCGCTCGGAAACCGCGAAGAACGACCGGGAAACGTTGCTGAGGAGAGCGGCCGAACAGCTGGAGCGATTGGCGCCATATCGGAGAAGCGCGGACAATCGAGGAGAAATCGATCTCTCGAATCCGGATGTCTGGAGATCACCGGAGGATCAAAATCATCTGGATGAGACGAAGAGCGACGCGGATCAGAGGGGATCACCTTGGGAGGTGATCTCCGACATCCTGTCAACGGAATCGGACGCGACGAAGGGGATCGATGACGAGAAGCTGGTGACGATCGACGTTATCGCCGATCCGAAATACGCCGCGATGATGCAGGAGAGGATCAAGAGAGGCTTCGACGCCGGATCCGCTGGTCTCTTAACCAGCATAGCTGGCGGTTTGTTAAGCGGTGTCGCGAGCGCGTCCAGCAGCTCTGCCGGAAAAGCATTGGCGAGTAGCAGTCAATCGGGGTATCACGCTCCGGTATACGGTACACCCACAGTGGAACATACTTATTCGGTAATCATTATTTTCTTTTTTTTAATGGCGATGAATTACTCTACACACTCTCGTTTATTCGAATAAGGAACGTCACAAAAAGTTGAAAGGCAATACACAGAGAAAAGAATTGTTGGATCCTTATATAAAGACTAGAAAACAAGAGTAGAACCGAATAGATCGGAATGCTTTGCAGGTACCAAGAGAAAAAGTCGTTCTACGTACATTGAAAACACACGTGATCTAGGTCGTCAAAATTGTGCTGCAAAGGAGTGAAATTTAACCGGTTTTTTAACCGTGTTTTCATTATCCCCTTTGGCTTAAACATTGCAAAATATTCCATGTGAAATACAAGTAAACAGTGTGAAGTGAAAATCATTGTATTAGACATTAGACAAGCCATTACCCTAAATAATGAATAATTTTCTTAAAAATGTACAATATATTTTTCTTAAAAGATAGAAAAAAAAGGTTGAAGAAGAGAACAAAGGGATAGATAGATAGATAGATAGATAGAAGAAAAAAGGGGGAAAAAGATTGACAAAGTATATTACTTAAAAATTTATTTTATTATACAACACAGTGGCATAATTTAACATGCAAATGACATTTCTTTTTAGTATGCAGAGAAGCCCTTCGGCCCTTGGGACTTCAAGAAGGCTATCTTCGGCACAGTGTTCCAAGCTCTCAAGGCAATCGGCGGCGGCGTGCTAGCTCTAAAGGGTCAACTAGTCAAGGGCGGTGGTTACCTCTTGGCGGGTAAAGGCAAAGTTGTCAGTAAAGCCGGAGATGTTATCACGTCCTTTGGTAAAAGTCTGGCGGCCAGCGCGTTGACGGAACCAAAGCCTTATCCACCAGACACTTATTACGATCATCCGCCGGTTCAAAATATAGGTAAGAAATTAAATAATCTTTATAAAACAAAATTTATGGATTTTTCCGCTTGTAATTAACAATAGTTAAGAAAAAAAGCGATTAGGAAATTAATAAAAAACTACATCGCATACATAAACGTATATGTATAAAAAGATGAAAATTGTGCAAATTAGAAACTTGCGCATTACTTCCTCATCATTTTATTTTGCTCACAAAGCTTAAGCTCCTTAAAGCAAGCAGGTTTTTCAATTTTACATTCTTTCTCATAGAGGAAGATATCTCAAAATTTGCGAAAGTTACAGCGTGTACAGACATTTCTCAAAAAATTCAAAATTTTATGAAAAGTGAACCCCTTTTCACCAATTCAAACTAAATTCAATATCAACTATCCTTTAATGATTGGCATAGAAAACTGGAAAGAAAATTTTGTCACGAAAACAAAGCTTCCTCAATGAGGAAGCAAAAGATGCAAGAGAGAGCGTTGGTATTGTATATACACATATATAAAAATTAGACGCATGCTTTCTATTGTACGCTCACTTGTTTATATCACAGTCAACCGATTAGACATGGAAATCGATCGGAGATATAATTTTATATTGAGAAATGACAGACCGGATAAAGATCATTATTTTAGTGATTGCAAGCCAACCGATTATCCACGAATACAGATATTTTAAACGGTAATGATACGTTCGAGACCTCTAATCAGATATTATTCGCTTTTCTCGAATCCGTTTGCCAAGCGATAACAATAGAACGTTGTAATCGATGAAAATGATTCGAAACAAGTTGGCGTACGCTAAAGATCATTACGACACATTACAAGGTTATTGATACTTGCATCTTGAATTTCAAATTAAAATGATGTAGTCTATAAAATTAAATGCATCCTGTTCTATAATTATCGGGTTGATCGCACATTCGGGTCGATAAGACATTTATTCTTGTATACACGTGATGACGTTAATATTCCATTAAATACTTTTTTGTGAAAATATACAGGACATGATCCTAGCTATTCTGGACCACCGCCGAGTTCGGATGATTACTCCGAAGCGCCTAATGATTACAGTCCAGAGACCTACAGAGTGCCAACAGATGGTAGGTTTCACTTTCCTTATATGTAATTGTAAACATTGTAAAGTTCCTGCACACCATTGTACTTCTACGTTTATACGCTTTTCTAAGATACACAATTAATCCAAGGTAGTAATTACGCACTGATGAAGACTTAATAAGTCTAACGACTTCCGTCTAATATTTCCAATGTAAATAATTATGCGAAGAAACAATCCTTCCTCACGGAGAGAAAAAGGTAATCAAGAAGTCTTTGTTTTCTCCTTGAATTGCAAAAAGTAGTAACCGCGTAAAATTTTTGTACTCTTTAAGTTTATTCAAGAGAGCGCTATCAGCTGCCGCTTTCACGAATAAATTTCGCTACCAAACATCAACTGACAATTATAATATCTTTGGCGGAAGCCAATGCTTTCGATGTTCTTCTGGAAACGTGTTGATGCAACTCTCTTGATGACGCTCGAATTTCCCTTTCGTAATTTCCGTATCGTAGCATCGTCATCGCCGAGAATCGCAGTGAATGTCAATTCTCTTCGAAACGAACAGGATTTCGTTTCACAATTCCGAATGACTCTTCCCACGTATCAGCACGCGACCTTTCACTTTCCCCAAAAGTTATTGACCGAGAGATAGCTGCGGTAAAGTCCATGTTTCCTGACATACTTCCTCAATTTCTTTTACTCTCAGCATATACCTGTGTGCATCTCTGCGTGCTGATATAAATTTTATATGTATATGTATATAAATCACTCTCTCAACAACGTTATTTATTGTTAGTAAAATATGTTGATTATCATATATTTCGTATGAATGTGTTGTAATCACAAAATATATAAGAACTATTCTATCTTGTCTCACGCTGTGTCTCTTCTAAAATTCACTTTTCTGAAATTTAATATGTACTAATTTTTAATGACAATTAGTGTAATACAGTTTTCTGCAAATTTGTGTAACTGTCCGTATATTTGAACGAATATATGGAATTTAGATTCATGTTGTACCATACTTGGCACTTGCTCGACCGATACAATGTTGTAATACTTTCGGCACACTCGCAACAACTTTAATCAGGCTTTGACAGTATCTGCTTTTATGCTCCACCTCGACTAACGAATCTGTACTTAACACTAAAGCACTGAATAAACGTGACTGACAGACGTCACATCCACAGACAATGGCCAGGGTGGCCTGCTGATCGTGACGCCGACGAAATCTGACCTGGACGACCAGAACGACCAACGTACGAACGTGGTGGTGCAGGAAAAGCCGGATCTGTCCAAGTTAGAGGAGAGTTTCGGTGGACCGGCCAAAGGCTCCACCGTAGTGAATCTCCTCAACAGCGTGCCGAAAGGTAGCGTTGGTTCAAAGGATCAAACCGTCAATCAAGACAACAGCAACGTAAACCCTTATCCTCCCGCGCAGCATCCGGCTCCTATCTACGGGACACCAAATCATCAACCCGCGAATCAGGACAATGCAGCGCAGAATTATGGTAATACGGTGCAAAAGTATCCGTCCGTGCAAGACAACGCTTATCAACTGCCTCAGTTACCGTTGCATCATCACTTCCATCTGGGCGATCCTAATCTGTCGATTCAGCCGAATATAGATTACTCCCCATTGCAACACATTCAATACCCGGCAAATCCCGCTGTTTCGTTCGATTCCATCAAGCTGCCGCACGATGATGGCGGTACATCGGTGTACTCAAGTCTGTCTATAGACACCGAGCCGCAAATCGCGCCCTTGAAGGTGTCCCTCCTGCCCGGTGCCCTCGATCTGCCCAAGTTGCAGCCGCACGTGGACTTTCACGGACAGCCCCAGTTCGCGAATCATCTTCAGGGCACCTTGGGCGGTCCACTGAAGGTGCCTCTTCTGAACTCGGTGCCGTCAGCCCATTATTGGCAGGATCAAGGGTCGCTCGTACCGACTTTTAAGACGCTGAATCCCTTCCATAAGAGGAACGTTCTCCAAAGGCGAGCGTTCGCCAAACGACTCGCACTTTACTCGTCGCTGCAGAAGATGAGGTTCCGTTGACTGTGAGGTTGAGGCAGGTAACGCGTCGGCATATTATAAGCGTGTGTGAAATAACGGTATTTTTTCAAAAAATTTTGCAAGTTTTTTCGATAAGTGTGACAATGTATTTTGATATTTCGGAACAATCTCTCTGACATTTTTTAAATACTGGAGTGAAAGTACAGCACACACATAGACACATAGTGTACTCGAAAATGTGTTGGTGAAATATTACACACACATATCTTGTCATTCCAAACATATAATAAGAATAAATATGTACTTTCATTTTAGTTGCATTATTATTGTATCGAGCATGTAATTATGTAAATATAGATAAATAGGATAGATAGGAAAAAAATATTGTTACAAGTTTTATTTGGAATCACAGCGTAGTTATTTGCGATCAGAAAAAGGAAGATTGCTTTGAAATAATATTTGTAGACTCTTATATTAGATTTAGAAATAAACTTGAATAATTATTAATTTATTTTATATTAAGAAAAATTATTTTAATAAAAATTAAAAGAAAGAAATATTTTCCCCTGTATCTGTCACATTATGTTTTAGGAGATATTAACATATTTTAATGCATCCGCATTTTTTCTGTTGCAGTAGTCCATGCGGTCGCGTACTATCCATATCCAATCAAATACGGATACAGATATCCGCATCTTTATGGACGATAAAGATTTTCGTTATTCAACGATCACATAAACTTCAAGGAAGAAGAGAAGCTAACAACTTGGCGAAAGCGATTTCTAGAATTCGACATTTCAAAGTCGGAACGAAAGAACAATCACATATTTGAGGAAGAGGTTTCGTGTACCATTGAAACGCGTAGTTTACGACACCAAAGTGTGTCGCGGGTTATACCGAGTATCGCGATAGTCTTCGAGATTTTACGAGTTTTTTATCAAACGAGGAGAGGAGACTTGAAGTTATCTTTTAAGACACTCGGTATATATCTTGGTTTGCTGACAGAAATGATTATATGGATTCTGTAAGTAAATCAGAGAAATCTAAACCCAGAAATATTAATAAAATAATTTTTTGTTAATTATATAGGATAATTATTGCGATTTTATATGTTATAATTTAATTTGTGATAAAAACTCTCTTTGTTACGTGTTCTTTGTTCGTCATTTTCGATCGTAGCAGGTCTGAACGTATGTACATAAGTCCTCGAGGTAACTAGACAATAAGACCCATATTTTATAAGGGACTTACAATGCCATGAACAAATGGCTTTAAAGCTATATGTTAATTTCTTTGAATAAATCAATGTAAAATTATATACTTTTATATTAAACGTCCATCTCAATTTTATCAAAAAAATATTTGTGTCTCTCACACATACATATACACATACAAATTAATTATTTTAGGAGTATAAATCAATTTTACATTGAAATTACTAAAATTATAGAAGAATTCTCAGTTTTACATATAAAAATTTCGATATACAAGAAATGAAAATCATTATTTAGTCTATTTTTACCAAAGAAAAACGCTATTTTATCGAAAAAGGAAATTTTCTTCTATATATATACTGACAGATACATAATACCTTTTTCCTCACAGAAGGATACCGTCTACTGGAGGCGTTCTAATATAGACTACCAAAATATGTGTATAATATACATTATTTATTCCTATATGAAATATTTATTATTATTATTTAAAACGGTATCCCTCTCCACACACACACACACACACAAATGTGGGTAAGTTTTTTTTTATTCCACAAAAATACGATATAAATCAAATATTTTTAAATTAAATATGTAATAAAAATGATTATTATTAATCTAGTTAAAAATTATCTAAATTCATTAAAATTGCTTCCAAACCGATAAAATAAAAAATAAAAGTTTTAGTTATGTATCATATTATGATATATTGAACATATGTACCACATCATGGTATACGGTTATCTAGTTTCAAGAATAGTCTCAAGTGTCACTACTATCTAATATGCAAGTGCAATATGCGATGTATTGTATTTTCTAAACTGAATTTTATTGAAGAAACGTCAAGATCAACGTCACACACGAATCTGCGAACGTGAGAAAGATTAATTTCAATAAACTCCAACCACTTCATATTTTCTCCTAGAATTTGAAAAGAAATTAAGGTATGTAGTAGAATTATATTATAAATAACTATTATAGCATACACATATATAAATAAGTACAAATAATGATAGCAGGCACATACAAAACATATTTTTGTGAAAAATTAATAATAATCTACATTACATAATTATTTATCATTTGCAATTATAGTTATCGTGTTATGTTTTATATATTAACAAATACATTGTAGCACAATGGGAGAACGAAAGGGAACAAATTTGTACTATCCACCGGACTATGATCCTCGTGCCGGTGGTCTCAATAAGTTCCAGGGCACTCATGCATTGCGTGAACGAGCCCGCAAGCTCCACATGGGCATTTTGATCATACGGTTTGAGATGCCCTACAATATATGGTGCAATGGATGCGGGAATCACATTGGCATGGGCGTTCGGTATAACGCAGAGAAGAAGAAGATTGGAATGTACTTCAGTACACCACTTTATCAGTTTCGCATGAAGTGTCATCTCTGCGACAACCACTTTGAAATTAAAACTGATCCTGCTGTAAGCCACAAGCGATAATACTAAAATGAATGAAAAAGTGAATGTTGGTTTTGTACTTAATTAAAGATATGTTTTATCATTCCCTAGAATTTGGACTATGTCATAGTGAGCGGCGCAAGGCGTCAAGAAAATCGATGGGATCCTAAACAGAATGAGCAGGTTGTGCCCGAAACGAAAGAAGTATCGTGCAGATTATATGACGATGCAATGTACAAATTGGAGCATGGTATAGAAGACAAAAAAGTAGCTAAATCCCGAGATAGGACACTGGAAAATGCAATAGCTTTGAATGAAAGTATTTGGAAAGATGACTATAGTTCCAATTGTGCAGTGAGAGCTTTATTTCGGGTATATAAATTTATTTTTAATAATGTATTTATTGTTTATTCACGCAATTAGAATACTTGGTTACTAATAATAAATTTGAGTTTTTTTCTAAATCTGACGTTTTTATTATTATAGGAAAAGAAAAAAGAACTCAAGAAGAAGCAAAATGAAGATCATGCTTTATTAAAAAAGACTGGGCTAGATATTGACATAGTAAATGAACACGAGGATGACATCAAACTAGCCAAATTACTCACCCATAAAAGAGGTATGTTTTACTTAGCATTTAAATTAACTCAAATGTATGTATTACATATTATTACATTAATGAATATGTGTGTGTACTTTTTCTTTAGATGTAAGAAAGAAAGGAAGCACGACATTAAAACGATTAGTCTCTATTGTACGATCTAAAAATAAAAAGAAGGTATTATTTTCGAGTGACCGATTAAAACCACAAAATCAAGAATTGCCAAAAGTACAGGAAGTAACAGGTAATGCTAGTACTTCGAAAGTCAATGATTCAAGTACGTCTTTAGTAAACTACGATAGTTCTAGTAGCGACAGTGATACTTAATACTTTAATATTTTATCATCCATAAAGAGCGCAATACATATATATATATATATAATAAATGTATTAACATATCTGTTATATTTGTTAATAAAATGCTATAAAAACAGATTTATCTTAAACAATGTTAATGTTTCAAAATCAAGATGCACTAAGATTAAAAGTGTAAAATGTGGTGTACAATACATAAAACTTTTAAAAGTATTTTGATAAAAAATATATTTCAAAAATGGTAATAGCCATAATTTTCATAAAGTCATACATTGGAAGAATATTTTACATTAATAATTGAAAGAAATCATTACATTGAATATATAACACAAAGACATTTAACCTTTCCTAAAACTATGCGATACATTGCACTAACTTTATTCTTTAAAATGACATATATTTCTATATAAATACATAACGATGAATAAACCTCTTAGAATAGTTGAAGAAATTGAACTTGTATATGTCAGATATACTAAAGTTTACAGAATAGATTTATTTGTTTTGTATGCATTACTTTTATTCACATTTCAATGATAGACTGCGGTTCCACGTTTGCTGTAGTCGGAGATGGTAAATTCCTTTTCACCACATAAATCTTCTTATTGGAAAGACATACAACGTAGCAATGATCTTTATAGTTGATAGATATTTTTTCAAAGGCATTGTTCAAAGGAAATGCCTTGGGATCAACCTTACTCGTCAATGTAACCAAACTACTAATGATATTTGCTATTCTCTCATCATTTTCCAAATCTCCTCCAGACTGCAACAACAAATACAGAATAATTTACTTGTTATTACAAATAGAAAGGTATCGTCGTAAGCAGTCTCTTACCGTTAATACAGCACCATCCTCTGTTAATACCAAGTATCCAGTTTGATCGGGTATGCGCTCTAAGGCCAACATTTTCTGCAAATAGTTTATGCAACGTGTGATATCTCTTATATACTTTTTATTTCAACTAATTACTAAGCGAGAAAAGAAATAATAAAATATTACCTGTATTAAATTTGCATATAGTAAATAAGTAGAATTATTATGATTGTAAGTATAATAAACGTAACAACGAAATTACTATAATATATCATCTTGTGGAGTGTAGATTTGTTATTAGACATTATATTAACTAGCGTAAACAGGAAAAATTGTCAAAAGCCGAACACAATTTAACGCTCAAATTTGAACTGGAAACAATTCTAAATCTCTGTACATATCTCCCCTACTTATTCATAATATTTATCTTTTAAGATTTATCTCTTTCGCTTTTTATCCTAACCTGAGTAACAAAAAACTGAAAACAAGCAATAACGGAGAGAAATCGCAAACTTACGTATGATGACAATGTCAAAGGACGGCAAAATGTCATGCATAAATATAAGTGCTGATACAAATACGTCTCTTGACGCCGACGAAATAATACGAATGAAAATTGTTTGTCTCTCCGAGAGTCTCTGTCACTCGCATAAAAGATAATAAACCTGAAGTATGCGTCACCGCGTGTATGTACTAACGCCCTCTTAATAATTTTCGATATTTCGAGAATCGCAATATTCGATAGATTTCGAACCACAGTCGCACAAGACGCTGCGAGGAACGGATGGACAGACGGATCGCTCTCGGTATTTTTCGCGATTATTAAACCGAATTCGAAACCGAATCTCGCGCACGTAAAATTATTTCGTAAAGCATATTTCTCGTATAATAATCCGGGATATCAGCATCGATTTTATGTGTATCTGGAATGGATCGAAATCGCTCTCGCGTATCTTTCCTCCGATTATGCGATTGCGATTAATGTCCAATCGTCATCAGGTATGTGCATTAAGTGCGTTGTTATTTTGTAATTAACTGTATTGATACTGTATGCATAAATTTCGTCGATTTCGGCTGCATTATGTATTAAACATAAACGCATTGAATTAATATTAATGTCGCGAGAAGTGAGCAGTAGAATGTGTTCGTTGACGAAAGATGAAAATAATTGGAGATATTTTTTTCATGCATCCCTTTTTTTACCCTGTCGATACATTATCCCTTTATCCTTTTATCGACGATAACATAGGAAAAGTAGCATGCGTATTAATATACACACGATATATTTTCATATTATATATACATATATATGTGACGGAAAAGATTGACAACTCTCGTATCATATACAATATTTCTACAATTTTATATAAATTAATTGTGAAAGAAAAAAAACCCACGTGAATTTCTATAACTCTCTACAACGTTATATCGAAAAAGGAATGTTATTATCTAGAGAAAGGAATGTTAACAAAATACAATAGGAAAACATTTCGGGGTTTATTTACAGATCGCGTGTATGTGTGTAACGGGAGGAAGAAAAGGATGGCGAGTGTGTGTGCGTGTGTCGCGCATGGCGGCCGCGCAGGTGACACGCTTGCGCAACGCCAGTGGTTCTCTACGGCCGCGACGCGAACCTTGGCCGCCTACGTCATTCGTCGCGTGTCTTCCGAGCGCGGCTGTCGCCGGTCCAGCGCGCTCGCAATCGCGTACGCCCTTGGCGCGCCGGAGCGGACCACGTGGTACGCGTTTCGCGGCGTGACGTTTGATTCTCGATCGCGCGCGACTTTCGAGATCTTGACTCGACGCGCTGCTACATTCTCGCGAACGAATTCGCGTCGTAATCATCGCGTTTTGGAACAAAGAATAATATAGTGCGGGATAGGACAGATCGTTTCGTCGTAATTCGAGTGTGGTCCGCGCGTAGTGACATGCCGATGAGGAGCCGCTATTGATTCCCCGTCCACGCTCGCAAGTGCGTGTGTCAGTGCGGTGATATGTCCAGGAGGAAGCAGGCGAAGCCACGATCTCTCAAACGTAAGTCTTGTCATTATTATATCAGTTTGTTAGATCTATTCGATACAAATATACGATCATTAGAACTTTCCAAGACACATCGATGCATGTAAATAAACGGAAAATGTTGATAACTGATACAAGCAGGTTATCATAATCTATAAGTACTGTCAGTTTTATACATTTGTCATTAGTAAAAAATATTCAAAATACTGTATCAATCATCGATATTGTATCAATCTATAATTATTAAAACGACTAAATTATATCCAGATGACTTTGAAATTCGAAAATTCTAATGATTGTACGTTTTAATGATTACACATTACATTATATATATA